ATATTAAAATATTCAATAAATTATTTTACAATAAAAATATTCAATTCAAAATATTAGACAAGATAATTTTATTTTTACAAAATTTGAATGTTATTTTATAATATTTTTAAATAAACATTCATATTTTTTTATCCATTATATTTGTATTATTAAAAAAATATTTTATGCTGTAGCTGTCACTTTCTTGAGATTTTTTTTCCAGCAGAACATTTCATTTTCATGAATACAAATACAAAACGCCTAATAATATCTGAAGCGTTGACATAGTTTTTTTATCGGAATAGAATAGGATAGAGGTCAAAAAATAAATATAAAAAAAGTAGCACAAAAATCATTAAACACCCACCCAAAACCTATCTATTAATTATTGACGAAGATTAATCATTTTAGCTTAAACCCCCAAATTCTATAACCAAACTCATTTTTTAACATAAAACTAATCAAATTTCTTAAAAGAGTTTAGCATCCAATCTAATGCGTCCCAAACAGCTATTCCTTGACAATATTATGAAATGCGGATTAGAAAGTTTATCCATGTCCCTTGGTAAGAAAGCATCATGAAGAGAAATTAAATAATTTTTATCAATTATGAACTATACTGATACGAGATAGGAAAGTTAGCTTTTTGGGGGGTGGATTAATGACGAGCTTTACGGCAAATTGTTTTTTGTAAAAAATGGTAGCGGATTTGCGACGGAAATTTTTGAAGATCTTTTTGCGACATATTTGCGGTAGAATATTCACAGCAAATTTGCGAAGGTAAATCTGCCGCAAATTCAATGCAAAATGTCCTATCTAACCTATTGAGCGTGCATTCATTTCATTTATTCAGTTTTTTTTTTTACTGCTCTCCATTTCCTTCATCGACATCGCCTCCGCGCTTCTTAGCCTCCTTCAACGACGTTCTTTCCAGTCACCTCCCCTCCTTTTGACTACATTTGCATTCCTATCGCATCGCCACCTTCAACGACATTCCTTCCTATCGCATCAAAAGTCACACCTCCTCTCGCATCCAAAGTCACACCTCCTTCATGCGGGAGCTTGGTCGTTGCGAAGGTATCCATATTTCTTCCTTTAGCAAATCCAAATCCGTGAATCGGTCGAACCCTGCCGTTGACCAACAAAGGGAATGTATGTTTTTTCCTGATGAAATTCTCTTGTTGATAAGAGTAGAAGGAAAACTTGAATTATAGAGGTATTATTTGGATTAGGGTACTTGTTTTAGATATCAATAAGAGTACATGTTTTAGATATCTTGAGTCTATTGTTCATATTGATGGTGAAATAAATAGAGATATTATATGGTTAAAATGGAGGAATGCATTAAGCTTGTTGTACAATGTAAAAGTCTTCTCAAGTTTAAGAAAAATTCTATAAAATGTTGGGAGACCTATAGTGCTTTTATAGTTCAGTTTATTGTCCATTAAAAGAGAAGCATAATGTTAAGTTAAGTGTTGTAGAGATGAGGATGATCAGGTGGACGAGTGGCTTTACTCTTAGAGATAGAATAATAAATCAGCATATATCTAAAAAGGTTGTAGTAGCTCCAGTGAAAAATAAGATTAGAGAGAGTCACCTTAGTAGTTTGGTCACATATATGCTCATTGTGAATGGTTGAAATGGAGGAATGCATCTGGCATATCGTCTCCTAGAAAAGTCGCCCTTAAACTTAAGAAAAAATTCTATAAGATGTGGTGAGATGTGCAATGCTTTATGGTGCAGAATGTTGGTCATTAAAAGAGAAGAATAGTATTAAGTTAAGTGTTGCAGAGATGACAATGCTCAGGCTGATGATTAGCTTTACTCTTAGAGATAGGATACGAAATGAACATATACGTGAAATGGCTTGAGTAGCTCCAGTGGATGATAAGATTAGAGTGAGTCGTATTAGTTTGTTTTGTTATATATATGCTCATTTTATGTGGTTGAAGTGGAGGAATGCATCAGGTTTGTTGTTTGATAGAAATGTTTTTTATTGCCTTTTGAAATTAGCAATAAAAAACTACTAAAAAGTTGTATAAATTAAAAAAAATATCTTTATTTGTTTTATAAAGATGATATTCAAGATTTTATTGTTGTATTTATTGAAATTTTCAAAGCAATAAAAAACATTCACTTGCTACATAAATAATCTCTATCACTTACAATTTATAATATATGAGGAATATTATATACCACTTTTTTAATGATTTTCTTACTTAAAGATATGAGTAATCTTTATAATATGTATGACCTAAATATGCTTAAGGATAATTTTCCTTGGTTCTAGGGAATTAGGAAGTTAAACTATATTCAAGAACTGAATGGAGTATAAGTGTTAAGAATGAGGTTTGTTATAAAACTGAGAAGTTAGAGCATATGAATAATTTCCATCAATTAAGAATCAAACTTCTTTAAAAATGTAAAGGATGATAAGAAGACTTGTAGTATTAAATTTTGTTATAAGAGGAACTACCATGAGTCATCCTGATAATATGGTAATGTTATTTTTCAAAATAAGAACTCAAAAATAGAAACATTACAGATGTTTACTTAAATTATAGAGCTTTTAACAACCCTTAACCTCATAAAAATTTAAAAAATTGTGAATATATTTTAAATACATGCATGGATGAGGAATATTAAATTGGATGAGTTCTTGGAATAAAAAAATACTTTTATATTTTTTACACATTTCTTTTCTTAAATATATGTACATTTATAACATTAAAAAAATAAAAAATAAAAACTGGTTCTACAATAAATTTCATTAGAAATCATGGAGGCTTAAATTGATGTAGCTTCATACAACCTTAGTGTTAATGTTCATTCGACCAGATGTCTAAGAATGTGTTTATCCAATCAAGGTAGATCATTCAATCATATTAGAAATCAAATGAACCTTCTTCATATGTTTGTGTATATATGATTTGTCCTTAGTTTTTGTAGATTTTTGTGTGGTTGAAGGTAGTTAAACACTCTCTCTTCTAAGTTGAAATCTACAATGTTTATTATTTTATGTTCCTAATCATATTAAAAATCAACCCTTAACCACTCTCTTTGTGCTTTCGGTGGTTCTTGCTGCTGGTTGATATACTCTTAAGTAATCTTTCCCTTAGGTTTGTTTCTTTTTCTTGCTTTCTACTTCTGTTTTCAGGTTTTTTATCGCTTTTATCTGCTTCCTAGCTTCAACCTTTATAGTTGGTATGTCTTTAGGCCTTTTTAAGTTTGGCTTTCTCTCCCTTTTGTAACAAGCAAGGGATCTTAGACTCCTTAGATTTTTATTTTCATTTTGGTTGTAGCTCCTTGAATATTTACTGAGTTTTCGGTCCCTTTTAAGGGCTTTGTACTTTGTTTTCCTAATTAACGTGTAAGCCCTCTATGGATTTTAATTAAAAAAATCATGAAAAAATTGTCACCCCAGTTTAAGATAAATCTATAAGGTTCCTTTTATCACATAATTTGACACTATAAGTTTCCTTGGCATCCTTCACATTTTTAAGAAGTTTATTTCTTAATTAGCAAATATCATTCATATGCTCTAACTTTTGATTTCTATAAGAAGTATCAGTCTTAATAAAACCCATTTTGCTCTTAAAGAGAGTTTAGCATTTTAGTTTTATACATGCCAAGAAAACTTTCTCATTGCAATTTTAGAAATGTTATTCATGTCCATTATTAAGAAATCCCTAGGAAGATGTAGAAAGTATTCATTATAGAATATAAAATTAAAGTGGTAGAGATTGCTTTGAGATCTTGGCAATATAATGACATTATATTTAATAATCTTCAAGTATTGGAGATGCATCAAATATCTAATAGCCTTAGCTATCAGTTTAAAGTTTCAAATATATATGTAAAACAACTGAATGCTTGTGGATGATTTGAAATTTTTAGTAGGTGCATCAACAAAATTAATGCAAGTTTCAAATTTTCTCCAACTTTCTATGTATTTCTAGATTTCTAGTTTAAATAAAATAAGTTCCACTAGTCTTATGAAAATTCTAAAAAAAATAGCCATTCATCACCTATAACTCTATAGCATCCTTGTGCAAAAAAAATCTGTATTGAATAATATAATAAATTATGTATCTTCTAGTATGTTATATATTCAATGTGAAACTTAACAAAGAAAGATTCTTGACCAAAACATCAAAATTCTTTTATTTGATATGCTCCATATACTCACCTGTATTAGAAAGTAGTTGAATAAAACCAAATGTATTCCACGCATGGAATAAATCATCTTTATAAATCATTCTATCTTCTGGAACTATGTTATAAAAATGTGAATCAATTTTGTAAAGGTTTTGGGAGGAACATATAGCTCAATCTTAAATGGGAAGAAAGCTAGAATTTATTATAATTATATTGGAAGTGAATAGTTAATCAAAATTAGTTTAAGGTTGCACAGGGGGAATTTTATTCTAGAACTTTTTAGTGTGTAGAGGGCATCCATTAAACTCTATTCTATCATTGAACAAAATCAAACTAAGATATGGAGCAATTATATATTAGGTTGTCTCTGAATTGGTGGCTTGGTAAGCCTATTGGGGTTGAGTCTTAATTATAAATTAGTCTTTCTTTCCAACAAGTTTTTTACTAAAAGCAACATCTTTAGCCATATTTATTACTTATAGTAATGTTTTGAAGTGGTTTGATTATTGTTCCTGTATCGAGAAGTTGGCACGCCTAAAATAAGTCATAATTTTAAAATTGAGGCTAAATTTTGACTAAAGGGTTACTATGAACTTTTTTTTTTTTTTGTGAGAAGTACGTATTAAACATTAAGTGTGATAATAGCTGAAATTTTAATTGATGAAATCTGTTTATTTTTAAATAAAGTTTCTCTTATCTCTTTCACTACAATATATATCTTCTACAACCACTCAGAGTTTCAGGAACTTACTGTATTCAGATATTATGATGAAATGTTTCAGAAATTGGTAGCCAACATACATAATTTCACCTTTTTTGCCTTCTCCATTTATATTTTATGATGTTTCTTGTTTTCTATGCAGGAACGTCAGCTTGGAGAGATCAATAAGCAACTAAAAATGAAGGTATTCAATATCTCAGATGGAATCATAGCTACAATTATGAATTTAAGTAATATACAATATTTCTATCTTATGATCTTATCAATTTCATTGATATAAAGTCAAGTTATAGCTCATATAACTTCTTAGTACAGGTCTATGATAATTTTTTAATAAAACATAAAGAAACAACACAAGAAATACACTATCTTAAACTACCAGCTTTGTCATATGCCATATATTCTCAGTCATGACAGGTAACCATTCCGAGGGCAGCAGAAGTAACTTTTGATATGTTTTTTCAGCTTGAGGCTGGAAGTGGCTCTCTTAGGCTCATCCAAGGATCATGGGAATCTGATGCTGTGGTTGAAGGCAATGCATTCCAAATGAATCCTTACCAGTCGAGTGGAATGGAATGCGAGCCAACTCTACATATTGGGTACGTACTTCTTGAAGATATGACAACACATATTCACTTAAAAAGATAACTATCTAAGGCTTCGTTTGGGACGGTTTTTTTGTTGCTTCTTAAAGCAGCTTTTTAGTAAAAAAAATTTAATTTTTTACTAAAAAGCTACTTTAAAAAGCAACAAGAAAGTCGTCCCATAACTCAATAAGAGGAGAGAGTCATTCTTCTTTTAAGAGAAGGAAAATCCATCTCAAGAACAATTAACTGTTGCTTTTCATTTAAGATTCATCACTAAAAGTTTGAGTTCTAAGCTAAATATCATATCAAACAGGTATCACCAGTTTGTTCCCCCAGAAACAGTAATTCCCAGGACCCCTGGTGTAGAGAATAACAATTTTATGCTTGGATGGATGCTTTAAGTTGAAAGGAAATAGTAGGAAATATTTATCTGGTGTTCATCTTTTCAAAAACTGAACTAAGCTGCTATTTGTGTATGTCTGTCATAGAATATGTGGTTTTGTATTTTCTGAAATGATGCACTGACATAATGAATATATATGTTCATGTAGTTGGAATATTATAATTTCATGACAAGTCAATGTGCTGTATCTTTCTAATTGATGTTAGGACAAATGCTGTATCTAGTAAAAGCTTTCATAAGGAGATTGTTAGCCGAGTATAATATTTATAATGAATTGGCTAAGTGATTGCTTTAGATTACATAAAATACATACAAAAGATTTTCCATATTATGTTGAATCTGTAGAGAAAATAGTTAGATGCCCAGAAGTTCAAATTTTTGTTGATTCAGAGTGATTTGACCCAAGTAGACCCTTATGTGCTCAACTCCTTCCTTGTGTGAGGCTACAGGCTTCATGAGAGAGGTGATCCTTAGGCTTACCTTGACACTAGTGGCATGCCAATAACCTCTCCTTTGGACAATGTTCGCTTACTACTATATATATATATATAATTTAACTATTTGATTCAAACTACCTAACTACTCTAAAATCTTGTATACATCAACATTACCACTAAACTACCAAAGTGTGTATACACTACCATTTAAGCAAGTTTTAGATTCATGTTGCCAGACATGCATCTAAATAGAGAAAGTATACACGCCCCCCTCTCCTCCCCCCCCCCATGGCATGAATAATTCATCATTATCTATCATTAATATTGCTCCTTACTATATGTGAGAATGTTTAACAATTTAATAAGTAATGAAACACTAGGCTTAATGTTGATAATAAGTTGCCTCTATGAAAAGGTGTGAAAGGCACAATACTCAAATTATATATTCACATAAATACAAAGAGAAAATAAATATTTTTAAAAAAGGTGGTCTTTATGTGCCATACATTAGTTTTAAGAGAAATTTTTCTAAGATTAATTTTAGATTTGATTAAACTTTTAATTAAGGTTGTAGACAAAAAAATTATAAAGAGACTGTTGATATTATAATTCTAGATAGTCACAATAACCCTAAACCATAATCCTACCTAATTTCAAGGATCAAGGAAAGAATATCTCCATCGAGCCCTAGCTAATCCAGATTGAGAAGAAGTAGAACAGAGCACATCGCATAGCTCTCAAAACCCTAGCTCCATCCCCCATCGCCTCGACTTTGGATTCCATTATCGGCCAAGGATGACTCCACTAGTTTGGTTTGTCCATGCTCTCATGATGCCCTAGCTCTCCCAGCCTGGCCATGTACGTCATGCTCACATACTTCCTGATTAGTGCTCGGGATCCATGAGGATGGCGGCGCCTCCTCCAAATCTTTGGGTTTCATCCAAACGTGCTTCAACAGTTAAGAATCAGGGCCTTTTTTGGAGTTTCTAGTCTGGGTATTTCCTCTAACTCGTGCTCTTTCAAAGATGTGGGGGCTGGTATGAGCTCTTCTTCATCTCCGTCTTTTTCCTTAACGAAAACTTCAATTATAGAGGTTCCTACTATAATTTTTTCTGAGGATATTTTTGGAAAATTTGGCTGCTCCTTTTGAATTTAATTTGGTAGAAAAATTTTATGTGTTGATCGAATCTACTTGATATCCATCAATTTTTATTAACCATAATCTTTCTGGCATGCTCTCTATTTGGACTTATGGATGCCAAACATGTTATCATTCAACTTGCTAATGATTTGAACTATAGTAGGGTGTTTGTAAGAAGATCTTATTATATTAATAATTATTAATTGAATGTGTTGAAGTGGACTCCCTTCTTTGATACTAAGAAGTCACCTATTGCTCCTATTTAGATATCATTTCCTAATCTAAGGATACATCTACTCAACCCCACCCAAATTTTACATTCCCTTCGCTCTATTTTTGGTTGCCCACTTAAAACCGACTAAGACATTGCCTCTTGTTCACATCCTACTATTGTTAGAGTGCTTGTTGAATTGGATATTACTAAAAAATACCCAAAAGAAATGTGTTGGTTGGCCCAAAATCATTTGGTTATATGCAGAAAGTTGAACTAAAAAGTTTTTCTTTTTGTAATGATCGCAAAGTACATGGTTATGCTTCTGCTGAGTATTTTATTTTACATTCCCAATGGAGAAAAGATAAAGCCAAAGATATTAGCAATAACCTATCTATATATTAATGTGCCCTCTACCGGTAGTGATGATGCTGACATTAATAAGAAATTGGTGGATCCTTCAAATGTTATTCCTTTTGATGGCTCCAAACCCGTGGAAAATATTGAGAAACCTTCATTCCTCCCAAACCCTATCGATGAGAATGATAATATTGTCTTGGAAGCTCAAATTTGTAATCAAATGACTCCTTTTGTAGGTTGTAATACTTCTTCAAGTAGTATTAATGTCTCCAATTTAATTCACATAATTTCCATCCCTATTTATCTGGATGATATTCTCAACCTTATTTGGAGGGCTTGCTTCTCAGTGTCTATTTGGGAAGAGGGAGAGCTTCATTTTGTTAATGAAGGTAGTTTTTACAAAGATATCTATTTAAATACAAATCACCAAAGATGATTCTTTTCTTGCTTCTGGTAAGAAAAAGAGGAAAAATAAAAAGAAATGATAAGAATCTTGGAGTTTGTTGTTAGTGTGCCCAATTGATGGTTTGGTGAAATACTCGTGGCTTTGTTGTTGGTCCTGATTGTGTTGCTTTTTTTACTTGAGCTTGGATTTCCTTTTTGGGGGGGTTGGCCCTTTGCCTCCCTTTAGTTCTTCCTTTTTTATGTATTTTAGTATGGTTCATTGGCTTTTGGGTTTTTTTTTTTTTTGCTTTTTACTGTAGCTCTTTGAGCATTAGTGAGCATTTTATATCTTTTAGGACTTATAATCATTTTTTTTATTCAACATGTAAGCCCTTTGTGGGTATTATTTAAAAAAAGGGAGAGAATATCTCCTTAAAAATGAATTTTTAAAACCAATTTTCCTATCCAATCATAAGTACAACTATAAAAATACATTAGGGTAAATACAAGTTGACATAAAAGGTCATGTTTATAGGACTCTTTAAATGCGTCTCAATGAAAATAAAAAATATAGTGAACTAGACACTATATACAACCTAGTCTCAAACCTCGACAAAAATAAAGAAAGGAAAATTAATGTAATTCATAAGCCCTATGCTTTCTTTGTTACTTGGTTGTTGACTCTTGAATTTACTAGATTTGAAAGTTATTTTATATATAAAATGGTATTTGTACATGTTTATTATTAGACCTTAGCTCACTTACATTTCTTTCCTAGTTAAAATAGACATAGATGCAAATAAAAGTACAGAAATCCGTCTAGAATAAACACATTTCCTTTGGCCATCTAAAATTCATTCAATAAAAAATGGGCCTAGGACATCATTTTACCAAGTAGCTTATAAAGTCTTTGAGTAAACAAATCTTCTTAAGAAGATTTTAGAATAATCATCATCAATATGGAGGTGAATAAGAATGAGCTTCTGATCTAAAAACTCCACATTACCAATAAATATTAACCTCCAATCAACTAAAAAAAATCAAAGACCATTTAAAGAAGAGCATCCAAATTAAAATTTTCCAACCAATTAACTTTGCTCAAAGAGGTAAAAGTAGATGTTTCTTGATCCAATAAATGTTTAAGTCTTTTCCCTTTGAATATAGAAGGCAATTTAACATTATTAGAAGCCAAAGGATAGATATTTCTACGAAGAGCATTCTGAAAAAAGCACAAGACATTAAGTCTTCAAAGAAACTATCAATAAGATGGATAACCATCACTTATGTAGAACCCCCAAATAGGCAATGGCATTGTAGATCAATATCAGACCAAAAGAGGATGAGAGATGATGTTGTAAGGCATTTACCACACAACCATCTTTAATAAATGAGAGGATCTAAAGGATAGGTAGGTGAAATCTAACCAAGGAGGCAATCATTGCAACATATGATGGCTAGAGCCACCAAAAAATTAAGCAAAGAGAGTTTCTCAAGATAATTGGAAGCACAAATGTTGCAGGACAATTACATGTGGCAAATGTATGAGCTAGTGCCTGGGAGATTCAACAACTGGGAGCATAGATTCATGATGGGATAGAGTGACAACAACTTGAGGCTCAAAGTTGGCAGTAAATAATTGTTCAAAAATTTTGTAGAAATAAATTATTAGGGCTTCAGATTATCAAAGTTAACATCTATAATATTCCTGATTTTAGGTTTTCATACATGAAAAATAATGTTAACCCTCTTATCATGTAGTTTGACACTATAAGCCTCATTCCTAGCATTTTAAAGAAGATTGATTATTAATTGGTGAAGTTCATTCATAAGATCCAACTCCCCTATTCCATATATTGTCTTATTCATAACATAAAACTCATTTAAATAATTATGATAATTTTGCTTCCCAATTTCATGAATCCCATAAAAGTTATCTAAGAACAATTTCAAGTATGCAAATTAAAAGGCTTAATCAAGCCTCTCAACTAGAAAATATAAAAAAAGTGTAAAATATTTATCATAAACTATTAACTATAAGTGATAGAAATTGCTTAACGATCTTGACAACATAGAGTTTCTTGTTTAAATAATCTATAAGTATTTATGATGCATCTAATATCTAATTGCCTCACATTATAATTTCAAATCCTAAACTTTTACATGTACTAAGCAAATACTTTCTAATGCATTAAAAGTTTTAGAGAATACATCAACAAAATTTTTGTTATCTTCTTTAAAAAAAAAAAAAAAAAGTGAATGCAAATTTTTAAATCTCTCCACATATTTTAGTGCTTTTGATTTCTAGTTTCAACGACGAGTGTTAAATAGCCTTCTAAAATCTAAAAAATAAATCTTCATTACCTATAACTGTGAATCATCCCAATTTAGGAAAAGATTATTTTTTTTTCAATTCATATATCAAATCATCCATTTTTTAGCCTAGTATATATTCAATTTGTAAAAAATCAAAGAAAAATTTCTCAACCAACATAGCAAATTTCCATAATTGAAGATCCTCTAATGTCTCTTCTAGATTTAAAGGTGGTTCAATGAAACTGAATGTAATCTAGAGTTGAACTAAATCGATCATACTTATAAATATTTGGTTTTATGGGAATATCCAAGAACAATCAAAATAA